ATGATTCTGAGAAGGGGGCCATAGGCTTTACAGAGTGCCAAAGGGGTCACAAAGAAACACAAAACACTTAACCCCTGTTCTAAGACTAAGTTGAGGAAAGGGTTCAGATCTGCATTGGTAGAGAGAGTTCTCTTTTCCCTGAGTTTTCCATAGCAATGAAATCACAGATCCAGTGCCTATCCTTATGTCAGGATGCCTAAAAGACAAAGGTATTATTTTCTGTATCCATACCTGAGTGCTTCAGTGCCTCTGAGATCTTAACCATGTGGGCATTGCCTACATCACACCACAACCCATCCACACCTTGTCACTGTGAAATTCTTGTCCGTGTGCTCCATAGGTTGCCCACACATGGTCCATTCCACATTCTAGAGGCTGTACTTTAGATAGATTTGTATTTCATGGGTACCATGACCTTCAAGAAGCTTCCATTCTACAGTAGGCATAAGACAACTTCTTGGAGCATCTACGCTCTCCATCTGCTATCCTTCACTCTTGCTACCTGACCAGCTTGCCTCCTTTTCTGCTCACATATTTCCTTGGTGACATACCTTATGCTATTTCTTCCTCATAGTTCATGAACAGAGAGATGCCAATGCTCCTTAATCCCACAGTCCTATTTCCATTGCCACTGAGATCATCCACAGCTTTAATTCTTCAGTGATTGTAATGTTCCAAAATTTGCAACTATATAGCATCACCAGAAGAGCCTCTGTATTAAAAAGATGCAAGTTTGCTCCAATGAACAGCTTTGGGTCATCAAAAGAACTGTGCTATTTTCCAAATTCAATTTCTCCCACTCTCTTCTTCCTCTTCAACTCAGGCATAACTCATTGCTTATCAATGGTCCCTGTGCTAGATATAAGTACTGCTGTAATAACTTAATAGACTGGCTTTCCAACTGCATGTCCTTGTGTGGACAAGTAGCATTTTTCATCTATGTAATTATTCCTGTACAGATTGTTAGGCCAATCTTTTTTGAGTAATCCTCAATATCATGAAAAGGCCCTCTACTACTTTGGGGTTTGATGCAGTCAACACAATATCACCTGTAAACAGGATTACCTATCTAAAGGAGCCTTTTTTTTTCCACTTGGACTCTGTGTAAGATGTCATTCAGGTCACAGACTAACATTTTTGTCTAGGTTACATCCAGTAAAGGATACGGATAAAGAGTGGTCAGATGGGTAAGAGAAAAATCAGAAGTGAGCAGTATCCCAAAAACCTAGAGAGAAGAGAGTACCAAGGAAGAGAGAATGATCAACAGTGTACAAGGCTGCAAAGAAGTCAAGGAGAATAAGGATTGAGAAAAAGCCGGATAATATTTGTAAAATGCTTTGAAAACTTTAAATGCTATATAAATACTAGGTTTCATTTTTTGTAACATATACGTTGTTTTGCTGCTTATAATCACTTTTCTCTGCATCAATTCATACGGGTCTTGCCAATTTTCTCTGAAATTGTCCATGTTGTCATTTCTTGTGGCATAATAATATTCCATATCCTATAATATTCACACACCATAATTTCCTAGCCATTCCCTAATTGATGGATACCTCCTTAATTTACAAGATTTTGATTTGTGGTTTTGTTTCACTACTACAAAAAAGAGCCACCATAAACATTCCTTTTCTTTGATCTTTTTGGGGTATAACCTAGTAGTGATATTTCTGGATCAAAGCGTATGAATGGTATAGTAATTTTAGGAGCAGAGTTCTCAATTGCTTTCCAGGATCACTGGACTGATTCACAGCTCCACCAACACTGCTTTAGTGTGCCTGTTTTCTAGCAGCCCCACCAACAATGATCACTTTCTATTTTTGTAATCTTTGTCAATCTGATGAATGTGAGGTGGAACCTCAGAGGAGCAATTCAGTTTTTTGTTTGTTTTTGTTTGTTGTTTTTTTTTGGGGGGGTGAGGTACTTGGGGTTAAGTGACTTGCTCAGAGTCACACAGGTAGTAAGTGTCAGCTGTCTGAGGCTAGATTGGAACTCAGGTCCTCCTGACTCTAAGGCCGGAACTCTATCCACTTCGCCACCTAGCTGGCCCTAGAAATTCAGTTTTAAGAACCTTCTATGTAAAAGGCATTGTGCTAGGTAGTGGCCATGAAAAGACAAAGATGAAAAAAAGTCCCTGCCTTCAAGAATGGAATAAGCATTTATAGAGCACCTATTATGTGTCAGGCACTATACTAAGTGCTTTATAAATATTAACTCATTTGGTTCTCACAATAACCCTGAGAGGGAGGTGGTATTATCTTCATTTTACAGTTGAGGAAACTGAGGCAAACAGAGGTTAGATGACTTGTTCAGGGTCACACAGCTACTAAGTGTCTCAGGCCACATTTGAACTCAGGTCTTCCTGACTCCAGACTTGGTACTCTGTACCACTGCACCACCTAGCAGCCTCATACGATGTAAGAAGTTTACATTCTACTGGACTTAACAAGCATGAGATTCCTTGTTGAAACATTTTGCTTTATCTGGCAGATTGTTTGCTACTACGTCTTTTTTTTTGTAAATCTAAATGTACATATTTCAGCTATAGTGTGGGTTAAATTGGTTTTTATGGAATCTGACCAAAAGTTATACCATTTTCTCATTAAGTAATTATAATTTAATAAACATTTTCAAGTACCTATTATGTACAAGGCTCAATGCTGGACTCTGGAGGTACAAAGATTAAGTTGCTTACATTCTACTCAGTGGGGGAGCAAGCAGGATTTAATATTTTTCCATCCATAACTAACTATACAAGGTAAGTGTGATGGGCACAGAGGAGAGGTCCCTTTCAGCTGAAGACATCTGGCAAAGCTTCATGGAGGTGGCCTCTGAGCTGAATCATGAAGTAAGCATGATTCTGAAAGACAGAAATGGCATGTATTCCAGGAGATAATATTAGATGTTATAATATTCAGCTCTGATTATAATTTTATTCATCACATTATTACGTAACAGTGTTGTTAAGAGAGGTATATAAGGTCAGAGGAGAGTGGCATCTTAAGTTCAGGGAACAGTTAGTAGACCAGTTGGCTAGAACCTAGAATATGTGAAGACAATGTGAACAAAAGTCATGTAAAATAAGACTAGAAAGTGTGGTTGGAACCAAACCGTGGAGAGGTTTGAACACCAGGCCTGGGAGTTGGTATTTTATCCAATAGGCAATGAGGAACTGCTGGAGGTTTCTGAATGAAGAAGTGACCTGTGCATTAGGAAGATTTTGGCTTCTGTATAATGGATGGATTGGAGATGGAAGAGATCAGAGGCTGGCGGGTGGGCTAGGAGACTGTTACAATAATCAAGGTGAAACTTCTTGACGGAAGCAGTCGACTAAATATATGCAGAATGAGACATGCAATTTTGAACTTGACCAATATGGGATTTCGTTTTGCTTGACTATGCTTATTTATTATAAGAACGTTGTTTTCTTTTCTTTTTTCAGTGGGGAAGGGGGGGTAGGTCATTGAAAAAAAAAACTTTAACTGTCAAGGTGAGGGTTGATGGTGAACTGTTCATGGAGTTCCTTAGTGAGGGCTATGTCAGAGGAACACTTTCAGATTCTGTTTGTCTGTGTTGTCAAAGTACGTTTGTTAGCATTTGGAGATCTCTTAAATCAGAAAGATGTTAAATCATACTAAGATGGAGAATGAAGGCTGGTAGGAAAGAAATGACTAGAGTTAAATTAAATTCTGGGGCCATCCTTAGACAAAAGAATTCATTTCTTTATTTCTTCCTTAACCTCTTCTTTTAGTATCCATCTGCCCTATGTCAGAGTTTTAGCCAAAATTGCTTTCTTTCGGATAAGTTTTGCTTCATGCCCCAGACTTTTCCTTCCCTCCTAACTTCTCATCTGATGTCACATTAAACCTGCTGGGGAGGAGAAGGTGCACAGCAGAAGCAATATGATGATGATAAGCAGACTGAAGCTCAGGGGCATTCACACTGCAGGAGCTCGGGCGCTAATTAATCATCGCTAGTCATCCGATTGACCTCTCAGCCCACCAGCTAAACAACATTACTTCGGGGTTTTATCAATCAACAAACATTTATGAAGCACCTCCCAGGGCCAGGGGATTCAAAGACAGAAGTGAAGCAGTCCTTGCCCTCCAGGGACTTACATTCTATTGAAGGAGACACGTTCACATAAAAGTACAGACATAATCAAAATGGGGTAATTGAGCAGGGGGCACCAGCAGCTAGAGGAATAGTATAGTATATGGAGTATATGAAGATAGTAGTATATTAGGCTTTGGCTATGACGTATTCAAGACATTATTCTGAAACAGTGTCAAGGGGGATATGTATATGTGCGTCCTTACACCATGGGAGACTCATGGAAGAGATATTTGGGTTCAGCTAGCCCTTCTGAAGCCTTTCAGACCATGAGTAACTGCCATATCTGTAGGCAGACCCCACCAACCTTTAATCTCCCCTAGTTTTCCCCATGTTTGAAATAGGACTAACAAGTATAAGTACTATTATTAGTCTCTCTCTCTCTTTCTCTCCCCCTCTCTCTCCCCCCTCCTTCCTTCTCTCTCTCCTTCCCTCCCTCCCTCTCTTTTTGTCTGATAAAGCTTAGAGATTACAACAATAAACACTAGAAAAGGAAGATGAAAACTGATTTTTCCCAAGAAGCTAATGAAGGAGAGTGGCTTTTTGGTTTACTTTTTTTGCCAAGATCAACTCAATTGGCCTATACTCCTATAGGCCTCTGTTGGCTTTATCTGAATGGTAATATTTGTTTCAGGCTTAAAATGGCAAGCAAGTTAAGGTCATATGGAGAGTCGCTGCCATAAATTGAATGAGAAACCTTAACTCTGCTCTGTGGGTCAGGCAAACTGATTACTGTCTTCTCCCCAAGCAAGAAGTTTCAGACAGCAGTGGACACCTATCTCAATTGCACATTGACCCCTCTTTTATGGGACTATTTCTACTTCATTAAAACACTGCTCTGTTCTTTTTTCCTTCTCCTCCCTTCTCCTACCCCACCCAACACATAGGATGATGAAAGCCTGAAGCACCTTACCCATGAAGAGAAGGACGTCATTCTGTTTTTTGAAGAGACAATTGATTCGCTAGAAGATGACTTGGAGGAAGAAGCCCTTTATGACAGTGGCATCCACTGTCACTCTCCAAGGTCACTGGAAGAGAGTACTTCCAGTCACTCTGAGCCAGAAGATATCATTGACTTGGTGAAGCCGATACCTGAGGATCAAGAAGGGAAATGCCTTCGGCACGTGGCCCAAGCAGCAGGTGATGTACAGCATGAAACACAAACTAACAAGGCTGTTTCCAGCTTCCTGTTAACTCAGTTAATATTCCTCAGGACACACAAAAAAGTTTTGTTCGCTATTACCACCCCACACCCCCCCCCCCCCCCCCCCATGCACACAATTCACCAGTGCTAGCCAGTGCAGAAACTTGTTGAGGCTTGCCAAGTTTTAAATTTGTGTTTTCATATGGATGAAACACGTATGTGGTAATTGGATTGTCCAGACAAGCCAGCACCTTTTCTTGCCCCCTATGATTAAAGAGACATGTAAGAAAGTCCCTAAAGGGGCTAGAGGCATAGACAGAATAAGAAGGTGTACAAATGACCTTTGAAATTATAAATAGCTTTTGTCATGAGAGTTTCCAAATTTCTATCAAGGATTGGCCCAACACATACCCACCAAACAGTGCCTTCTGACTTATGCTAAATTTATCAGGAGGAGCTACAGAATAGAGCTTTAGCTCTGGAATCAAAAGGACCTAGGTTTGAATGCTCTCTCTGATGCTGTCTGTTTGACCTTGGGCAAATTATGTAACTTCCTTGGGCCTCAGTTGTGACATCTGTAAAATGAGGGGTTTGTACTAGATGTCCTTGGAGGTCCCTTTCAGTTCTCATTCTGTGATCCGACGCTCCTAGGATTCTGTGCTTTTTCCCTGTTTGGAGGCTGGTGGTAAGTTTTCACCAGCTTTCATTCCAGACAGCTCACCCAAAGTTCTCTTGGTTGGTTGCCATGATTTTGAAGGTAACCCTTCACAGTTTTTCTCTTAAAGGAAATAGAGGTTTTAAGAAACGAAATTGTTTACTCTGTATGGATAATACCATTTCTCTTCTTTGCTGTGGGGGATGAGAAGAAGCATACAGACAAGGAACTATGTATGCCTTTTTCCTACTGGCTGAGAGAGACCATTGCCATTTTAGAGTATTAGAAAGAAAAATGTCTACCCTTCAATATACCTAGGATCTGTAATTTCATTGCTGTAGGTATTCCCTCATAGATGCAGATCACCACTCCTCTCTAACTTAGTATATGGTCTCCAGGAGTTGAAAAATGGGCTCCTTTGCACTTAGCAAGACTGGTCCATGAATAGCAGACGTCTAGCACTGCAACTGTACTCAAGACCTGTCTATCTTGGTAGGTCCTGCCAGACCATGGAGCCCTGCTGCCATAGCCTTAGCAAATCCATGCCATGATGGGGCATCAGAGAGAGGCATTCCTTTCTACTCTCTCTCATTATGCCCTGCCTCCTCCAGTTGCAGGACCTCAAGAATTTTGGAAGAAAGTTTTGGAAGGATGGTAGCAGATAATCTCCCAAGGAGTTATTGCTTTAACTTCATGGTTATTTCTTCAAACTTTGATTTGCCACCGTATTTTAAAACATAAATGGCCTTTTGTGAGATATTTTTGCGTAAATACTGTTGTGTCTATGTAGACATGTGATTTTTTCAAGCAAACAGTTTATTTCCTTACCCTAGTAATCAAGAAGGGAACATGCTGTATTTAGCAACAGAGAAAAGGTGCCTTCTGCAAAAGGGAGCGTCCAAAAGTTCTTTGATAGCAACTTGGGCCCATTATCAAGTAAGAAACCACCATCTGGGTCTTCTCAGAAATATACTTCTGATTGTTGAATTGCATTGGCTCTAGACTGCAAACAGGCCTGTCCCATTAGCTTAAGCACTCAAGGTTACCCCATCTAGAACCAGCTAGAGCCTACATTGAACTATATAACTGAAGTTGTTTTTGAATAAGCCACTTAACCTTCTAATGTCTGTTTTCCCCCTCTATTAAAATGGCAGGCATGGGCTCTGAGTCTCCTATTAAATGGTAATAAGTTAATGGATAATTCAAAACTTGCTAATATAATAGTTCCCATCTGTGTCATACAAAATGCTTCACAATCAGAGAGTAACAAGGCCTACACAGTGAGTGGCAAAGCCAAGACTCAAACCAAGTCTTCTGTCTTGAAATACTGTCTTTTTGTTCACTTTACCATGACTAATGTGTTGATCCTGATCACGCTTTAATAAAAGCAGAGGCCAAGAGAATGCAGGTAATAGAAGTACTTTTTTAAAAAATAGCCTTTAAGATCAGTTAAAATTCAACGTAAAAGAATCAGTGGATTTACTTTAAATAACTTATGATGGTTTCTCTCATTTCATTTTTCAGAGCCAGAAAGTATCGAGAAAGATAAAGAGCCCACCCTGGAAGACAAAAAGGAAACAGCTGAGAGCATTTCATCGCCAGCCTCCACCATTCCTGAAAATACCCCTCCTCCGGCCCCTCCCCTTCCTATCTCAGCCCCAACATCTCCCAGGAAGGAGCTTCTTTCATCCTCTCCTCCAGCTGAGCACCCAAAACTCCTCCACTCTGTACCCACTCCACTCGTCATTGCTCAGAGGATCTCTGAGAGATGGGCAGGAAATGAGGGCCCATCCCCTACATCTACTTCAGTGGAAGGGAGGTTCAATGGATGGAAGACTAGGACCTTTGCCTCGCCATCTGCTCAAAAGGGAGAGCACTCCCCGTGGCACCGGCATACCCTGGCTTCCCAGACCGTCCCCAAGGTTCATCGCTTCCCAAGCAACATCAGTGTAACTAACAGTGCTGGGAAGGATTTCAACAAGACCATCTCCAAAGCAGCAGTCAACGTCCAAGAACGCAAGGCCCAGGTTCTGGCCAACATCAATGGGGTGGCCTTCCTTGCCCCAGGGGAAATGGAAGAACGGTTACAGAAGAATGAGCCAACTGACCAAAAAAGGAGTCTTCTCCCTGAGCAGGCCACCTGTGATTCCATGAGCAAGTTGAGCTTCGTCAGGGAAGCCCCAGGCTCAGGAAAAGGAAGACAAACGAGCGTCGATCAGTGTTCCAAGGCTGTACAAACAGAACAATCCACAACTCTACCCAACGGCTACCAGAGTATCCATGATGCTTTGAAGAGTGAGCCCAGCCCTTTCGTCTCCACCAGCAAGACAATAACATTCCGGCCAGATTCGTCTCTTACCAACAAGATCACGCGGCAGAATGCAGCCAAGAGTTTCTATGAACATCGGCAGGCAGACGTTGGCCAAGACGTCAGGAGAAGGTCAGGCTCCCTCCCAAGAGCGGTCGGATTCCGACCCCAAGGCATCACTGTGCAATTTGCTGGCCGGGGATCCACGGAAGAAGCTCGGCGAGAGGCTCTGAGGAAGCTAGGGCTACTAAAGGAAACTTTGTGATGGGTGATGCAGTGAGGGATGCTGAAAGAGGAGGGGGTTCTGACGGGCTAGCCCAGTCTGGCAGAATGGTTATAACACCCACAACATTCCCCTCCCCCTTAAAGAGCCAGGGGAAGGAGGGGGGAAGAAACGTCAGGAGTAACAGAGATCATTTACCTCACCGAAGATGACTGGGAGATACTTGGTCTGTAACAAACACAAATACATAAAGGCCAATACACAATTCCCAATTGCTGTGCCATTTGTGGGGTTGGAGGTTCCAGGAAAACTGGTTCTAGCTGTCATCAAGCTTTGACATTGCTGCCCCACAATCCCCTGTTGGAACATTGGTATCTACCTATAGAAGATATGCATCCTGTCACACTTCTAAGTCTTCCTTTTTCCACACACAGGCAAAATCCAAGACATGGAGAGGGGGAAGGAGGTAGAGAACAAACCACAGACCTTTCAAACCCATTGACTTCATGGATTGTAAATGCCATAACTTTTTTTTTTTTGGTTGTTTTTATTTGGCGTTCTTGAGCCACTCACTTCCTGGCCTCTTATAATCATCTTCTGTCCTGAAGTACCTGGCTTGAAATACCAGTTCCGACTATACCATCTGTTGTTTTTCCTTACATCTTTTTTTTTTTTTTTTTTTGAAGTACGACCTTCTGTTCACATTTCTGATCTTTATTGTGCCTGGTATATCTGTTTTGGAAGGGGAGGCTTGTTTTAGCACAAAACATGTACTTACTCCCCACCCCCCTGCAAGTGAATGTGCCATCTGGGTTGCATAAGAATTTTTTTTTTAAGATTTAAGTGAAGGCTTTATAGTTGTATTACTATAATTTTAGTTTGAAGAGTGGAGAGGGAATGGTGAGGACTTTGATAAGGATGATGGTTTTTAAGAAAACAAGTCTGGTCAGACTGGGAACACCCATACACACACATTTGTATGTTGCTTCATAACTTTTGATGGAGTCTTCATTCAGTATCTACAGGATACAGCCTCTTCTTCCTATAGCCTTGATGCACTTTTAGCCATCTTATGTTGAGGATGAGTGACACAGAAGAAACCCAAAGGCTATGTGAATGCATAATCAGTTTCTAATTTTGATATGTCCCATTCCTGTGATATTTCTGCAGCTCAAAAGTGGCTCTTCCCTTCAAACTATTTTCTACTTCTCCCCAACTAAAAAGCTCTCCTTCACAAACCCCTCCCCCACCAAAGAATGGAAAGAACCCGGTGTTTTTGGAACAAAAAGGGTCACAAAAGACCACGGGCTGATTGTATTCCCAGAACGGTCCCTGAATTTTATAAGCAGTTATGTAACAAGAAGGGTGAGGAAAAGGAACTGACTCTCTCTCCCTGTTGTATGTCTTGTATGCCAAGTCGTAGCCAAGAACAAGTTTATTAATACTATTCAAGGGTGGAATTTTAAACCTTTAAAAATAGATTGGGAGGGGCTGAACTAGAAGACCCAGGGCACAGCCTTTTAGTATTCTTGCTTAGCCATCATGGTAGCACAGCTATTTCTTTCCTGTAAATGTTGCTTAAATTCAAACTTTTAAATGTACTGTGAAGGAAATTTTCCATAGTATTCAACTTGCCTTGTAAATTATATAAAAAGATTGTACTTCAAACCACCAGTATTTAATACCTCACCCCACCCACCCCCCATGAATTAATCTCATTTGTTATGGAATCTGGATACTATTTAAAATAAGCATTTAATTTTCACAGCCTTTTTAATAGTTTATTTTAAAGTTAACTTTGTTGGCAGTGAATGTCTAAGTGATTCATCAGAGCCATGTTCTGTTAATAGAACGAGATGCACTCTGTTTAATCATTCAGAAGGAAGAAGCTGAAAAAACGTTCCCTCAGTTGAATCTGAGGGTCTTGACATCGCTGAAACTTTAAAATAATCTGTATGTGTAACATAACCTCTTGGTGAGGTTGCTTTGTCTTTGGTTGTTTGAAATCTTCGTCATCCAGTAATTTCACTGAGTTTGAGATGAGTTTTGCTATTTTAGTATATTAATCTTTATGATGTTTCTTTGAAAAATAAACTTGGAAATTTTCTTAAGTCCAAGAGGGTGTTTTTTTTTTCTTTTTTAAACCAGGGCTTTTAAAGTGCCCTGCACATAGTAGGCATTCAATTAATGTTTATTAAGGTTAAAACCAGGTCATTACATTGCTATAAGATCCTCTTTTTTCCTTTTAACTTATTTATTTTAGGTTGTAATTATACCCACTGTTACTCTGTTAGCTTGAAATCTTGCTTTTTTGTTCTGTCTCAGGATATAGCAAATCAAAGCTATATGTTATAGATCAAGTTCAAATTGTACCTTCTGATGAACCCTATTTTGTTTATAGGTTTTGGTTTCTAGTTATATATTTTTTTTTCTTGGCATGACTAGGTGATCTGACCACGTTCAAGAATCAATTAGTTCAAACTAAAGCAAGCTAAGTGGTGCAGCGGATTAAAAACTCGGATCCTTATACTGGCTGTATAACCCTGGGCAAATCACTTAACCTGTCTGCCTCAGTTCAAATTAGAAGCCTCTAGGTGGTGCAGAAATCAGAGCTGAGTTGAAATGAGCTCAAAAGAGCTCAGAAACACAAGCTCAGGCTCTCCATCTCTAAAATGGGGATAATGCTAGCACCTACTTCCCAGGGTTATTATGAGGATAAAATAAGACAAAATTTGTAAAGCACTTTGGAAACGTTAAAATGCTAGTTATTTAGCTATTTAAATTAAATGTTGGGACTTCATTCCAAAGCAAAACACAGCATAAAGGGGACACACTTAAAATATCCAGTGTTCCTGATCCAGCCCCATGTTACCTTTGAAACAATCCCGAACAAATATCCCCCCATCTAAGCCCATGCCTTTAAGCATGGAAAATTTAGGCTAAAGTATAGCTTTGCTTGGTTTTACCAGAGGGATGAACCGCCTTCCCCAATGAGAGTCTTACAAATGGCAGAATGACCATATTTAACACACATGCATCCTTATTCCTGCTCTTTTCCCTTTAACTCCATTTACCCTGTGGGGATGAGCATACTTACACACTCAGTTCCTATTACAGTAACATTTCAGAATATAATGTCAGATGGGGGATTAGCTAGTAGTTGCCAGTTTGGCTGGACTGACTGTCTAGTAAGGGGAATGACATAAAATAAGTCTGAAAAGGTAGATCAGGAACCAGACTGTAGGAAGCTTTCCGAGTTTGGGGACCTTTAGCTCAGGGGCCTGCTCCTTTCCCAGCTACCTTGAATCCAGTGAGATAAGAGTAAGAAAGCAAAGGGCTTTGTGCCTAAACCTGGTTTTTGTTACCTTCACCTTCAGAATCAATTGTTTTTTTTTTTTAGTAGACTAGTTGTGTGGGATCCTTCATTCTGGAATGTCCTGAAGGAAAGGTGTTTGGCTTAAGAATTCCAATTGAAAGTAGCTCGCATGAAGAACATGGCTGTGTTTGAGTGAAGCTCGATGGAACTGAAAGGCTTGCATTTTTTTAAAAAGAGAGCCCCGCCTTTTTCCGTGATTTTAAAAATAAATTCCTTATGGGTGAAGCTTTTTGCTAAGAGGGCACAAAGGGGCTCAGTGTTGTATGGTGCCTATCCTCAGTTTTAGGATGGTTGGCAAGGAAGAGCAGGAGATGGGGGGTGGGGTGGGGTGGGGTGGGTCAGGCCTAGGAGACATAGCTCTGTGTAATTTACCCTTGTGGGACCTTGTCATTCACATGTTAATGGTTTCCTGGTAGAAGTATGATGTGTGTTATTTATATAATATAACGAGTTTAATAAACATTTCTTTTCCTAAAGGACTCCTTGTATTCCTGAAACTTTGCCAAAAGCAACAGTTGTAAATTGTACCATTGGAATAGCATCCCCTTTTTTCTAACCTTTTCCTCTTCTCCACTGTCTCCTGGTAGTTGGCAGAAAAGCAGAAGAGGGAAAGGGAGTGGTTAGGTGGTGCAGCGGATAGAGCACCAGCCCTGGAGTCAAGAGGACCTGAGTTCTAATCCGGCCTCACACACATAACACTTACTAGCTGTGTGACCCTGGGCAAGTCACTTAACCCCCATTGCCCAACCAAAAAAAAAAAAAGAGAGAGGGAAAGTTCAACTGTGAAGGGCTTATGTTTTTAACCAAACTTGGCATCTTCTCTTCACCAGATTTTCTTTGTTTTTCTTTTTTCCTACTTCAACATAGAGGCAGTGGTTTTGCATCTCCATTATTAATCTTTCTCAGTTCTGCAGGGTCTTTATTTCAAAAGTCAGGAAAAGAAGAGAGGGTAGTAAATTATCATACCCGGGAAACCTAGAAATGTCTTAAAATTCAAACTGAGCCATAGACTTTTTTTTTTTTTTGAGGCAATCAGGGACAAGTGACTTGCCCAGGGTCACACAGTTAAATAAGTGTCTGAGGCCAGATTTGAACTCAGGTCCTCCTGACTCTAAGGCTGGTACTCTAACCACCACACCACCTAGTTGTCCCCTCTGACCATAGACTTCAAAAAGAAGCACCATTTGTAGAAGTCACATCATGTCCCATTAGTTATTAGCCTATCAGACACATTATATCTCATTTTTTTTCTGCCCAACCTATGACAATTACTTTGAACCACTTTTTTTTTAACCATTCCTTTTCAAAAAGAAGAATCTTTTTTTTTTAAGGCAATTGGGATTAAGTGACTTGCCCAGGGTCACACAGCTAGTGAGTATCACGTGTTTGGTCTGAGGCCAGATTTGAACTCAGGTCCTCCTGATTTCAGGGCTGGTGCTCTATCCATTGCACCACCTAGCTGCCTCAAGAAGAATCCTTTAAAAAAAATTCTAGATGTTTCTCCAAATGAAAGAACCGGACGATAGTACACTTTTCTTTCCCCTTTAAGATAATAACTTTCAACTCTCAAACACTTTTCTATATTACCAAAAAGAAAAAAAAATCATGGATCTAGAGTTGGAAGAGATTTGAAAGGCATTTAGTCCAATCCCCTCATTTTACAGATGAGGAAACTAAGGACAAGAGATGAAGTGACTTGCCCAGGGTGATAGAGATAAATGGCAGAATTGGGATTTCTACTCAGAGTTTATACCTCCTCTTCAGTACTTTCTCCACTTCATCCCCATGTTCCCCTTAGCAGCACATGCCATATCCAAGGTCATTCAATACTCAACATCAAGTCTGGCTTGGGCAGCAAACTTGAGCCCATAACCCCAGTCTTAACAGGATTCACACCCAGTTCTCACTTTTCACGGCTAATAAGAAATGACTCGACAATTCCCAAGAATCGGGTGAATTAAAATTCAGCGGGGGTCCCTCTTGAAGAAAACACCTGAGCAGAAGCAGTGTGTGTCTCACTACCTCTGTGTGTGTGTGTGTGTGTGTGTGTCTGTGTCATTCGGTGGCCCTTTCCATCTGCATTGTCTCCATGATTTATCCCAAGTAGGAAAGCATTCCTTGGCTTGGATTCTGGAGTCAGAAGACCTAGGTTCAAGTCCAGGGTCTGACACTTAGAATCACAGAATTTTAGAATTGACAGGCACCTTAGAAGTCACTGAATCCAAACTTATCCCCTTACAAGTTTAAGAAACAGGCCTTGAGAGGTGACTTGCCCAAGGTCTCATGGCAAATTATTGGTAGAGTAAGAAAAAACCGCTTTGTCAAGTAGGATGGGCATATGAGCTATCATAGGTTTCATTCATAATATTCCATCAAACTTTTTATTCCCAAATGCATAACTTGTGGATCACGGTGTTAAGTGCCAGAGTAAATACAAAGTTTAGATATGATGGATTCCCTGTCTTCATGGAGCTAATTGACTAATGGGGGTACAAGAATAGCTAACATTTATATATGGGGCAGCTAGGTGACACAGTGGATAGAGCACCAGGCCTGGAGTCAGGAAGACTCGTCTCCTTGAATTCAAATTCAGCTTCAGACACTTACTAGGTGTGTGACCCTGGGCAAGTCACTTAACCCTGTTTGCCGCAGTTTCCTCATCTGTAAAATGAGCTGGAGAAGGAAATGGCAAACCACTCCAGTATCTCTGCCAAGAAAACCCCAAATGGGGTCACAGAGAGTAGGACATGAGTGAAAAATGACTTAACACAAGAAACATTTATATATTGCTTTAAAGTTTGCAAAGAGCTTAAGGTATACTATCTCATTTAACCCTTACAGCAAACTTCAGATGTAGGTGGTGTCATTATTCCCATTTGCAGAGCAGGAAACTGAGGTTCGTAGAGGTTAAGTCACTTACCCCAGGTTACACAACTAGTCGGTGTCTAAGGCAAGATTTGAAGTCAGGTCTTCTTGATTCTGTCCAGCATTTTATCCATTATTTCCCTTGATATTTCTATAAAGCTCTCAAGGGATGTGTATCACGGTGAAGTACATTACCTAAAAAAGAGTGTTATCCCAGGTCTGAGGAGAAAGGCTGTAACCACCCAGAGGTATCAGGAAAGGCTTCATGGAGGAGGCATTTAAGCTAAGTTATAAGATGGACAAGAATTCAGGCAATGATGGGACAGAGGGCATTCCAGGGACAGTGTCAGCAAAGACACAAAGACTAGAGGGCACTTGTCACAGCTAGTGCTATGGTCCACGGGGTCATGGAGGGTCAGACATGACTGAATGATTGAGCAATTGCTTTTGACGTAGGCTGCTTAAACTATGTGCCCTATTTGCTTAGAGCAAGAGACATGTGTAGATAGGCCACAAACACAGACTAGATAGATCAGGCTGGCCAAAGCATACAGTCCATAGAGTTTGGCAATATAGCTGGAAAGATAAGATTGCTCCAAATAGGGAAGAACTTCAAATGTTGGACAAAGGCATTTCTACCTGGTGGCTGTGCTTGTCAGTTCAGGATTTCAAGAGACAGAAGTAGCTATACCCACCCTAAGCTAACTGTGGCATTTACTGAAGGCTGGATAAACCACAGAAATATACTCATTTGTTCAGTGAGGGTATAACAAGACAGACATTCCTTGGTCCACCTCATTTGAATGCCTCTCTTTGGCCCAGAGAAAACACATTTATCACCAGAAGGTCAGCTCTGTCTAAACCAGGGGT